GTCCAAATTTATCATATGCAGTCAGTGCGCGTATACGAGTAAAAATATTGGAAAGCAGTTCAGTGGATTCTCATGAATCTATGTGGAACAAAAAAATTTTATATATAGTTTAGGATAACTAAATACAGAATCATTGGTTATATTTATTCAATTTTTTATGGAGACCATGATAGAAGGAGATCATTTGCAAGATACATGTTTACTATTGATTATTGTGTGATTAGTTGTAAGGTACTTTACAAATAAAGTGGCACTATCTATAATTGAAGTTGAGTACATGAAAATTATTGAAGCTTGCAAAGAAGTCCTCTAGTTGAAATGCCTATTTGAAGAGCTTAGTGAAGATTTTAAGATAACCACGGTAATATGTAATAGTTAGAGTGTCATTTATCTTAGCAAAGAATAAATGTTTCATGAGAAAACTAAGCACATTGATATTCGTTATCACGTTGCTCGTGAAGTTATTGCTCGTGGTGATATTGATGTGAATAAAATCAATACAGATGACAATCATGTGAATATAATGACTAAAACGCTTCTAACAATCAAGTTCGAGCTTTGTTTGGACGTGGTTGGTATTCATTCCTCATTATTAAAGCTTTGTGAAAGAGGTAGAGAAAGTTTCATTCTACAATCTTTTGAAATTTGTGTAATTATAGATTGTTAAACTTTTTACTTGAATTTTCTGGGCCCATGCTTATCATCTCATAAAGAAATTATTATCACACGGATTGAGATTTTATAAGAAAATTGCGAGCACACAGGTTGAAGGTTTTGACCATTTCATTAAACATATAATAGCCTTTAGATTGCAATCCATACGTTATTATTTTTTTTATCTCTCTTAATTATTTTTCTTAAAATGGTGTTCCTAAAACTATTAATAGCTCCCTTCTGTTTTCTGTAAAATACTCTCCACTTGTAATCTTTAATTTGATATTATAAATTCTCCTTCTCTGCTCGTAATATTTCTCATCTTCAGTTTTCGAAGCAAAATTTGTGCGTTCTTTATTTTATTTATTTTACTATTTATTGCATCAATTAAATATAAAGTTATAACAACAAGCATGCCAAAAATGAAGTTCAAGTGTTAGATATGGTGAATGCATTGGAATTGAGAGGTATGTTTGTAAACATTCCTTATAAGTTATGTGGAAAACCTTTAACATTTATATCCACGTCTAAACGATGCATTTTCTCATATCTATTTAAATATGGAAGTGTAGCAATGCTCATGCAGCAGCAATAAATTAACATAATGGGCCAAGGAAGCTTCAATTGGTGTGCCTGTTGGTTGCACCTTCCCTACCATATGGGTTGGTCATGTGAAGTTCCTGTTCATCTAAAATCATATTTGCATGGGAAATGGCCCCTAAATCTCAATGAAGAAACCAGATTATGATTTAATTGTAAATTGTAAATTTAATAGTGTCTTTCTTATCTAACTTAGAGGAATCATTAATTTTGTCTCCCCCCTCATTATATTTTTTTTTTCTGCCAAATACTTTAAAAAAATAAACATCGGTGATTTTGCTCACTCTAAAAAATAATGCTAGTTCTGCCCCAGACTTCACTGTGAAATCTCTTATGTTCTTAGTTATAAAATATAGTTATGATCCTCAATTCATATGATTAGAAAAATTTCATAATTCACATTCTCTCTGACATTCTATCATCGATCAGAGGAATGAAAAGATCTATTTTCAAGAGAAAATTATTTTGGATTGGAAGACTATAACTCAAAATCTTCTTCCTCTCATAAATAAGAATTTGCCTCCACATTTATTTCTTTCTTAAGTAAATTTAATATCTTAAGTATTTAACTCTCTCTTCTAATCTAATTAAAAGTTTCCAACAAAGAAAACAACATGATCTTTCATATCTAATTTTCTCTTAAAGTGTCCTTTTATCTGGCTTTCTCGTCTGCTGTTTTTGCATTACTAAAAATAACTCATAGACGACTGTTATTGTTCCCTCAAGTTCAATATCTCATTGAGCCAAGGGATGGCAGATGTAGAATCACTCTACAATGTTGGAAGACTCACCAACGATAACTGAAAAAAAAAACAATGGAATTGGCAACCAAAGAAAGCCGTCTCCTTTGTTTTCATCACCACATTAAATAGCAAATTACATCACTAGTTCTCATCCTAACTGGGAAATCAATAACTAGGAAATTAAATTAAGAAAGCAAAAAACATTAATTTCCCATCCTAACTGGGAAAGCAATAACAAGGAATTTAAATTAAGAAAGAAATAAATAATATTTTCCCATCAAATTGGGAAAGCAATAATTCAAAATTCAAATTTCGAAAGCAATAAGCCCTCATAATAAAATACATAATCTAAGTAAATAGCTTCCAAAAACACGAACTTCCCAAATCTCCTCTGTGATTGCATGAATTACGGAATTAAGTTAGCACCCTTCCGGATTTGCATTAATTCCTACCGGAGCTGTATCAATTCCTTCTAGATTTGCATCAATTGCCGACTCTCCCGAATAAATTGACTCCGACAAGTTTTGCTCAAGGTAAGCAACAAAAATATGTGGGTTTAAACACTGGAGTTCTGATGCTTGCAACCAGACAAAGTCGGATTTTGGATGATTCTTTCATTGGACTAAGAACTTGTAATATCCTCCACACCGAGTAGTAACAAACTGGTGATCGAGTATGGATGCAATTTCATCCCTTGGGCCCGTATTTTTAGGGACACAAATAACTGTGTCTTGTTGAGCCAGTATGTCTGTGGTTGCTAGCACTTGTTCCTCTGAGCCATGAAATTGAGTCAGATCTTCAATATTAAAAACAGAGCTGATTCTGTAGTCAGCTGGCAACTCGATGACATATGCAATAGACCCTAATCGTTTGGTTACCTTAAAAGGTCCTACACACCGAGCATGTAATTTGTTGAAGCTCCCATGAGGAAATCGTTCAGGCCTGAGACAGATAAGAACCATGCCACCAACATCAAAGTACATGTTCTTTCGCTTAATATTTGTAGAGGACATATATATTTTTGTGCTGAGTGTCAGTCATCTCTTGACTTCTGCGTGAATGTCCTTCATGTAACTGAAAAAATTGAGTGCATCTTCACTTGGTCGAGGAGGAAGCACCAAGGGGTGGAGGTCCAACGGAGTGTGAGGGTGAAAACCATAGACCACTTCAAATGGTGTGCATCCGGTGGAGCGATTGACAGAGTTATTGAACGCAACTTCTGCCTGTGGTAACACGAAGTCCCAACTTGTTATATGGTCGACGACTAAACACCTCAAAAAATTCCTCAGGCTTCGGTTGGTTACCTCGGTTTGTCCGTCGGTTTGAGGATGAAATGTGTTGGAGAATAGTAGTTTGGTCCCCATTTTTGCCCATAAGGTTTTCCAGAAATAACTCATGAACTTAGCATCCCGATCGGACACTATAGTGGTTGGAATACCATGTAGTTGAATTACTTCCTATAAAAACAATGTCGCTGTTTTGGAAGCATCAAAAGTCTTGTGGCAAGGGATAAAACGCGCCATCTTTAAAAGCGATCCGCCACCACCATGATGGAATCATGTTGTCGTAGGGTCTTGGGCAACCCAAGCACAAAATCCATACTAATGTGTTGCCAAGGCTTTTTTGGAATTGGATGGGGGGTATAGAGGCCTGCTTGTTGTTTCGTGCCTTTATTTATTTGATAAGTCTGAAATTGAGACACTACTTTGTGCACGTCACGACGTAGTCTAGGCCAAAAGAATCGATCAGAGACTATAGCAAATGTTTTATTATACCCAAAATGTCCTGCTAAGCCCCCTCCATGAAGTTTTGAAATAATAAATTCTCTGAAGGAGCCACACGGAATGCACAATCGAGTGCCGTGGAATAAAAACCATATTTGATAGAATATGCATTTGGAAGTGTGCCCCTGTCGTTTGTGATCGTACTCCATATAGTAATGAAGTCCTTGTCGGTGGAATATTGTTGCTTGAGGCTATCGAACTCCACAGTATTAACCGACAAGATCATCAATAGGTGTGGTCTCCTGCTTAAGGCGTCGACTACCTTATTCTCAGTTCGGGATTTATGTTTGATGACAAAATCAAATTGGTGTAGGTAGTCCATCCATCAAGCGTGCCTTGAGTTCAACTTACTTTGAGCATTCAAATATTTTAAAGAATCATGATCTGTATAAAGAATAAATTCTCTATGGATCAAATAATGGCGCCAATGCTTAAGTGTTTGAACGTCCACGTCATAGGCTAAGTAGCGCCTACAGGTCTCATTGAGCTTTTGGTTATAGAAGACGAGAGGAAGGCTTTCTTGGCTAAGCACTCCTATACTCACGTGGGATCCATCACACGCAACTTCAAAAATTTTGGAAAAATTCGGCAACTTCAGAACTAGAGCTTCTCCTATTTTTCTTTTGATCTCCGTGAATGCTTTATCAGCAACTGCTGTCCATACAAAATGCATGGACTTCAAACATTCGATAATGGGTGCCATGATGGCACTGAAATTTCATATGCAACGTCGAAACACCGATATGGAAGCTGTACATTTCAAAAAAAATTTGCGGAGTAGGCCAGCTTTTGATTGCTTGAACCTTATTTGGATCTGCTTCAACCCCCTGGTCTGAGATAATAAAAGCCAGAAAAGAAACATGATTCTTTAAGAAGGAGCACTTTCCATGATTTATAAAAAGTTGTTCTCGTTGTAACGTCTCTAATACCTGTTGCACAAGGTCCAAATGGTCCTGCAAACATTGGCTAAAATTCAAAATATCATCAAAGTAGACGACAATGAATTTTCCCAAGAAAGGCTTAAGTTTTTGCATCATAACACACATGAATGTACTTGGTGTGTTGGTTAGTCCAAAAGGCATAACCAACCACTTAAATAATCCATCTTTTGTTTTGAATGTCATTTTACCCTCATCTCCGGGACGCATGCGAATTTGATGATGTCCGCTATGAAGATCAATTTTTTGTGAAGACAGATGCACCACTTTGTAAGTCAAGCATGTCGTCCAGCCGTAGGAGAGGGAATTTGTACTTGATAGTTATCTTGTTGATTGCTCTACTATCGATGCACATCCTCCAAGTATTATCCTTCTTAGGTGTAAGTAGAACTGGCACGACACAAGAGCTAAGAATTTCTCGGATGAAACCATTGTCAAGCAACAGTTGAATTTGTCTAATGAGTTCCTCATTTTCCACGGGGCTCATGAGATAATGAGGTAGATTTGGCAGAGAAGAACCTGGAATCAACTCAATGGCATGTTATACCTCTCGCATTGCTGGTAGTTTTCTTGGCATCTCTTCGTCCATAATGTCTTGAAACTTCTCTAGCATCTCCGTAAATTCGTTGGGGATAATACTATCATCATGTTTAGCCTCTCAGTTCACTACTAACAACACTAGTGGTTCTTCCTTTAGAGCTTGAGTGAATTGTCGAATGGTTAGCACTGGAATGGCTTCTACCTTTTTTTTCTTTGGTTGTGCTTCAAACTTAGATATCTGCAAAGGGTTTAAAATAAATGTCTTGCCATTAAATTTAAAGTTGTAAGAATTGGCATACCCGTCAAACGACACCTTTCTGTCATAGAGTCAAGGTAGACCCAATAGCAAATGACAAACGGTCATAGGAACCACATCACACCATGCCACATCTGAATAACTTTTTCTCATTGTGAACCTTACTAAGCAACGATGCGAAACTAAGATAGGGTTAACTTCATTAACCCAACTTAATTGATGAGGGGTGGAGTGTTTTTTCAATTTTCAACCCCAAGCGTTCCACTGCATCACTGGAAATCACATTCATTCCACTCTCATTGTCAATTATTACATTTAGGGCCCGACCACCATACTCCATTTGGGTATGGAAAATGTTGGTGCATCTTCAATCAAGATCAGCACCTTGGATCTTTTTCTTAGTATCTGTCAAAACTCAGTGAATCACACAACTGGGAAAATGGGTTGCTCCAAAGTGCTCTACACCCTCGTCGTCGCTTGCTTCGTATTCTATTTCTTCTCCTCCATCCACGATGTCCATTAATCAAAGTTTTCCTTCACACACAAAGGCCTATTTTTTTATAAAATAAGAGTTACCATATGGGTCACCAGCATGAAATATTTGAAGTCCTTGTAGCAAGAAAATCGTGCTCTGATACCAAATTTTTGTCGTTCCCTCAATTTCAATATCTCATTGAGCTCAAGAGATGGAGAATGTAGAATCACTCTACAATGTTGGAAGACTCACCAACGATGATTGAAAAAAGAAAACAATGGAATTGGCAACCAAAGAAAGCTTTCTCATTTGTTTTCATTACTAAAAATTGGCAACCAAATTACATTTGGGAGAAAACAATGGACTTGGCAACCAAATTACATTACTAGTTCCCATCCTAACTGGGAAAGCAATAAATAGGAATTTAAATTGAAAGAAATAAATATTACTTTCCCATCAAACTTGGAAAGCAATAATTTGAAACTCAAATTACGAAAGCAATAACCCCTCATAATAAAATACAAAATCTAAGTAAATAGCTTCTAAAAACATGAACTTCCCAAAAACTCCTCTATGATTGCATGAATTATGGAATTAAGTTAGCACCCTTCCGGATTTGCATCAATTCCTATCGGAACTATATCAATTCCTTCTAGATTTGCATCAATGATGCTCCATTAATCTTCATTCAAATTGCAAGGCATTAAAAAAAAATTATGAAAAAACTAAAAGAAAAAAAAAACTTGCTTCCTGTTCTTCTCCCTTTCTATAAATAACAAAAAATTTACCTTCTATAACTCTCCAAACTGTTTATTTATTTATTGTCCGACAACTTGGATTCTTATAATGGCTCCAAATATTCCATCCTTACTTTCCTTCGTCTGCGTTGTCAGCTCCCTTGTTCTTCTCTCCACCTTTCCTTCCACCTCTTTCTCTAATCCAATAAAACATTCGTCGCCTTTCTCGCCGGCGGCAGATTGGCAGCCAGCCGGAGCAACGTGGTATGGCAGTCGCAATGGCTCCGGCAGTGATGGTGATGTCTCCCTAATCTTCTCTTAATCAATCAAGTATCTTACGTACTTTGCATGCTCATGTAATAATCGTACGTACAAACCTGTTTTATTAAAATAATACTAAGTTTTTCTGATCAATCAAATTTTATTAGCAGTTTAATCAGCATGAGAAGATAAAATTCAATGTCATTTCCATTGATTTTAAAAGGGTGACATGTTTTAAAAACGCATTATAAAGTTCCCTTAAATTTTGTTTTGGTATAACGTAAATATAATACTTATTTTTTTTTATGAACTAAAATAAAAATAATGTACTTAAATATGCTTGAAAAGTAATGTTTTGATTGATGGTAGTAGATAGCGGTAGCGACAGCATGATATGGTGTAGTGTGCGGTGGTGGCGGAGAGTGGTAAACCGCGACCAATGGGTTGTGACACTGGCAAGCAGTGACGAGTGGTGGGCATCTGAGGCGACCGACGATGATGGACGAGTTAGCGACTATGATGTCCAATGACACTTTACATTAACCTGTGTTATTGGAATTTCTCCCAAATAAACAGTTGTTTTTTCGAAACTCGTGCATTAGGAATGCAATGCACTGCAAATATTGTCGACCAAATAGATATATATATATATATATATTCGTTCATTATTTTAGAAAACAAAAAAATTGACATGTTGTACACAGGTGGTGCTTGTGGCTATGGTGATCTGGTGGGCAAGCCACCCTTTTCCTCCATGGTGACTGCAGGAAACCCTAATCTGTTTTTATCAGGCAAAGGATGCGGTGCATGTTATCGGGTAAGGAACATTCATTCACTATTTATATAATCAAACATGTAAATGATTATAAAGCATTTCAATAATTATAATTAGATAGCAGTAATTAACGATCATAAATTAATTAGGTTAAATGTACAAATAACTCTATGTGTTCTGGGAAGTCAGTGGTGGTGACCATCACTGATGAATGCCCCGGTGGACCGTGTTTAAAGGAGACGATTCATTTCGACCTAAGTGGGTTGGCATTTGGGTCCCTTGCCGTGCCGGGCAAAGCTGATCAGCTCATGGGAGTTGGTGTGCTCGCTGTTGATTATACTCGGTAAGTTTCATCATACATACCACCCAATTAGCGTGTCAAAATGGCTTGTTGTTCGCGAACAGCTCATGTTCGGCTCGTTCGCTAAGTTAACGAGCAGAACACGAACAAAGATTTGCTTATTCATGTTCGGCTCGTTTTGGCTCGAAATACTACTCATCAATTATATATATA